GCGAGCAATAATGAAAAATTCGGCGACGAACTTTTAATCGATCTTATACGAAGTCGTCCTTATCTGTATGATAAATATTTAAAAGATTATAGAAATACCAAATTGAAAGACAATGCATGGAAAGAAATTTAGTGATTGGTGACCCGTGTCCTGTAATGATTTAACATTTTTAGGTTACGTCTACTGAAGCAGAAGAGCATACTACAGTATGTACGCGATCTGATTGGTTGGCCTTTATTTCTTTCACCGCATTGTGCAACGGGAGGCGATAGTTTATGTATTTCTTATTTCTATATTATTCCTATCGCTATACTATCGCTATTGCCTGGCATTGTGTTTAGGCCTTGAGTGTTAGAAATTGTCGTCTGCTTGTCAGTTAGAGAAATTGTAAATAACTCTTGTTTGTGCCTAAAAAGCAAAAATAGTGCAAAAGTCAAAAAAAGTGAAAAAGTGGAAAAATTAAAGTGAAACGAGGAACGATCTCTCCTAAGAGAATAGTTGACTAATACAACTGTTGTATAATTTTATATTTCATTATTTTTGTGTTTTTTTTTATTTTGCAATCCATTACAATTATGAATCTATTTCTTTTAGTTTTTTACATTTAAATTAATTTGCTGTACATACAAATGAACTAGAGCAGCTAGAAAAAAAGAGAGAGAAAGAGGAAACTAAAGAGAAAGTGAGATAGAAGTTTAGATGGCGTTACTGGGGAACTTACTGATTTCGCTTCTAATCGTCTTTCTACCCCCACCATTGCCATCAGCGGTCCATTCTAGATGTCGATGGATAGAACCGGTGCTATTTTTCTTGTTTGATTTCATGCTGGCTTATTGTAGAACCAATCACGACGCCGCTTCATTTGAAGATGGCCGCTGGGAAGCGTGTAAACATGTGTAATCGTCTCAACCGACGATTTTTCATAAAACGAAAGAATCTGGCAGAAAAAACGTTGCTTTTCCCCGCGAACCAAAATATTTATCGGTAAAGTTCATGACTCCTCAGGGCTCAGGTTAGGAATTTTTATGTACTTGTAATAAATTCCAGTTGCTCAGCCAGTACTAAAACTCGCATCGTCTGAAGCCAAACTAGCAACACAGCCAATAGCACAGCCAGCACTGTTGCCAACACGGCAGCAAGCACGCAAATCCAGCTAGCAATCCAGCAGGAAAAAAGCATCGTGTGCCGCTGGCTTTATACAACTGTTGTATAATTTTATATTTTTTTATTTTTGTGTTTCTTTTTATTTTGCAATCCATTACAATTATGAATCTATTTCTTTTAGTTTTTTACATTTAAATTAATTTGCTGTACATACAAATGAACTAGAGCAGCTAGAAAAAAAGAGAGAGAAAGAGGAAACTAAAGAGAAAGTGAGATAGAAGTTTAGATGGCGTTACTGGGGAACTTACTGATTTCGCGCATGTGCACTCCATTTTTGCCAACACTGACATCAAAGGTGCCGACAGAGAGTTGCGCTACTGTATATACTGTGGCACTGGTGTGCACTGAGTGCGCCTTCTCTCATAGCGTTTTCCACTGGGAAAACTGGTGCAGCACTAGCGCCGTGCTAGGTTAGATGAAAACTGCACTAGTGCAGTTATAATGCAGGTTTAGTGCGGTTCAATGAAACATATCATTAGACATCCATTTTATTCACTCCTAAAGATATATAATATATAACATGTTCAAACTTAAATTATTTATTTTACAATATTCTGATTCATTTATTTATTTAAAACATTTTTTAAAATTAAATTTTTACATTTAAAGAATTTTAAACGTCAAAATGTCATTGCATAGCTATTATTAGAAACATTGAAACTAAACAATGTCATTGTTATGACATTAATTACAATAATGTAATATCATATCATAACATAATATCATACCTTAGCACAAACACAACCTCAATTTCAATTTGCACTGGTCTCCACTGACTTCAAGTAGCGTTTTTCACTGGCAGAGCTAGTGCGCACTCAGTGCACTTTAAAGCCGTTGTACACAAATCGACATAAAAATGTACGTTTAATAAAAATATAGAAATGAATTAAACCACGAAATCCTTAATATATTTTATTGTGATATTTGATAAACTATACATTGGGTATTTTATTAACTGAGATTTCTCATTTTTACAGTCAGATTAGGTTAATATACAATAGCTTTAATGTGCACCGAGTGCGTACCGGTTCTGCCAGTGAAAAACGCTATAAGATCACGCAGTCCATTCTTTATGGACGACTGTTACCAACGCCGATTAACTTAATCGACGATTAACTCAATCAGCAATGCAGTCAACAGCAAGACTATATCGTCCTTAACTTTATCTCTTCGTGATATACTTCTATCTCTGCGTCCCTATACTTAATTGTGATAAAAGTAATGAAAATCT